TAATAATAAAAATAATAATAATAATAAAAATAAATGTTAACTATTATAACGGCAAAATTAGTATTTATAACGTGACAGATGAGCACTATATCTTTTACATCACGAATGACATCTTGTAGCAGACAAGCTCCAGAGTTAAATTTACATTCGAAATAATGATACAAAGGATCTTTGATATTGTCCACAGTTCAGCGTAGTCTAAAACATTGTTAACAAATAAAGACTGGATGTTAGGCAATAAATATTCAAAATAGGTGAAAAGGGCACTAAAATATTAAAAACTCTTTTCTAAATAGGCATTAAAAAATTTGTTTGTGTCAATTTCAAAATAGTGCCGACTAAGTGGAAGTACAAGCCTACTCAGGATGCCAATAGGGTGTTTAAATCATTTCTTGTCAATCTTACTGAAGTTATTTTCACAGTGTCATTTAACCTTGTGTGTTTTCATCATGCCTTCAGAAAACGCACAGTTCTAATTTGTTGCTTCTATATTTTCTCAACCATTTTCAATGAAATTAGAATATTCAATTATTCCTGTCTAAATTATCCTTATTTAGTAGCACGAAGTGTTTCATGTCATAAAGAGTATCTTTAATCAGTATGAAATAAAAAATTTAAAATCTTTTATATCATGAGTGCTAATGTAACAGACGCCAGTGCATTGTTGGGATTTTATGTACATACACCTTACTGAAGAAAATAAAAAAAATTATTTCCCCTGTACACAACATTAACTTGATACTTGCTGTACATATTTTGATATGCACTACTAGTAAGTCATTTTTAAGGTACTTTCAACATTTGGTCTATAATAATTACAATTAAAAGTGTAGTAAATTTACAAACTTTCACAAAGCTAACAACAGTAAATAATATGCAATTTATGAAATCCATTACCTCACCTGAAAGCTCTATAGAAATTCATCCCACCCATTAACTAATGAATCTAAGTTTTTCCATTAACTTGTAAATCATAGGGAAGAATCTTTTAATTAAGATACATAAGAAATTTTAATACAATTACATCTAATTCAAAGCTTGTCACGATTCAGACAATTGCATAATAAAGTCGAGTTCATAATCAAAAGGAAAAATATTAATTTATAAATTTACTTGCCCCCATACAAAAAAGTTTTCATTTTGTCCCTTTCTTTTCTTATTATATATTTTTTTTTCCAGTTTTTTGAACAATTCACCAAATTTTCCAGTTTTTTTAAATAAGTGGTCACCCTACCGGTACACAAGCATAACCACCCTACATAACCCTACATAATCAGAAACAAACATATTTTATAACAAATATATTTTATTGTAAATCTATTTTTCACCTTGAACAGGAGTCAGTTAATGGAAATAAATGAAATAATATTACCTGGAGAGAGCAGGGCAACAGATTCAGTCATGTGGTGGCAGAATTGTGCAGGATGCGCATCCAGGATGAGCATCCCTCCACTTGCTTCTTCTCACTGGCTTGGTCCAGGCCCGCCTCTGGTGAGTAAAACCAGTTCGTAATAGTCCTCCAATTCTTGCATTTTCAACAGCTTGCTTACAAGGTCTGTTCCTGCAGTGCAAATAAAATGTTGCGTAAGAAATAAGGTTTGTCATTTCAGGGCAGGGTTTCCTGCAAGTGGGCCAACAACTAACAGGAGAAGTCTGAGTTGATAAAAATCAACAGCATCACAATATTTTTTGTATTAATAATGTAATTAACGTATTTTGTTTTGTGGTAATACAAAATTAGAAATGTAGTTCTTAAATTGCTTCTCTACGTGTTACACGCAGTACCTTGAAGAAATCTCATTCGATGCACAAATACATATTTTAGCAGCTAACAGTTGCATGAAATGGTCACCTTGCAGAAAAAATGTGGTATTTTTTGGTTTACAATTCAGAAACAAAACTTATGATCCAACAAACAATACTGAATTCATAATTACAATAACAGAAAATTACACCTTGCCTTCAAACAGTCCAGGAGCATCGCCACTAGCCGAAAGAGAGTATTCATTCTCTCAAGAAATCCAGAATCTATGACATTTGATTCTTCAAGAATAAATGCAATCTTCTCATCCTTGTAACCAGCACGCCCCAAGACAGCTCCTAGATCTTTATCAAAATCTTTCCCCCTGTTTATTTGTTATGAACCTGAAAAAAAGTGTATAACAAAGCCACTGGGCTCAATACAATTTTTTTCCGTTAACCTCAATGAAACGTAGTACTAGAAAAAATAAAGATATTAGAGTTGCTGAAGAACAGAATGCACAAAAAATTCTCTGAAATTTCTCTATCATCTACAATACTCAGCAAACTTAAGTATATTACCATTAGTCTTGTAAACATACTAAAATAATACTCAAGTTCATCACGTCCTTTTTTAACACCAAAGAAATGGACTGTAAAGGTACAAAAAACACAAAGAATTTTTATAACGGCAACAACTGAAGATCCCCATTCTACCAAATATGTTTGAGTGCCTGATCCATTGAGATGGGTAGTGATAATTTGAACAAGTTCTGACTTTTCAATCAGCTTCCAGTGCTACTAGAGAGTGTGGTTGTGTTTGCTGTGTCTATTGCACATCATGGATTTCGAACAATGCAATTAACACAAAATTCAGTTTCAAGTTGCAAACATGTCAAATCTGCCAAATTAGATCACAAGAACACACATTCTGGCCTAGTCATCTCGCCCGGGCTCAGAGGTGTACTGTGACATGTGCATCAACCTCTATGCAGCACTATTTAAGCCCCGGCAACAATCGGGACTAGTTCAACACCGCAACATAACATGTACCCATTTCTGCCTCTGAGGTACCGAGCCAAGCAGTTCAATTAGGTTAATTCTACGCAATGCCATGCAATCTCATTAATTGAATTGAAGTGTTGAGATCATTAGGAAATGAACTTTTTGGTCATTTTGATCTTGTCAAACAATTTTATAGACATATTTGTAAATTACTAAAGTTTTAGATTTAACTTTCCTGTATTAATAAGTCATCGCTTGGGCCCAGCATGCATTTTGTATACAATATAGTAATTTTATAATTGTTTTGTTTTTTTCATTTTTCTTTATCAGACATCAGTTTTATTTTATTATTTTCAAACAAAGATCGTCACTCATTTTATTTTCATTCATTAAATTAATATTTAAGCTAATATCGCTTCTTCACATAGCATTTGGCCAATCCTACCATCTCCTCTTACAAGGTGGTCCTCCAGCACTATTTTAATAGCCCTCTGGATACATCGTCGAGACACCGGAGGCAAATATGTGTGTGTGTGTGTGTGTGTGTGTGTGTGTGTACTCATAACCAATAGTAGAGTCCATACTGTTAGGCTGATCATTGCGGGTGGAGTCGTGTGAGAGAGGTGGGTGCCAGGTGAGAGTACCGCGTCTACACTCGCTCACACAATACGGACGTGCAGTGCGCACACCCTTAATGCAAAGAACACCTTAATCAACATCGAATAAATAAACTATAAAATACCTTAATCTGGAAAATGGACAATCCATTCATCCATGCAACGAATCTGGAAAGCAGTGTCTTGCCAGCTCCAGACACACCAATTAGCAGCAGATGTCGTTGTAATTGTCTAAAGATACGATCAATTCGCAAAACATGTTCCAGAACTTCATTAAAGAACACCAATGGTACATCCAACTCATCTTCATAGAAAACCTGACAAAGAAATTAAACGAAAATATAAATTTATACATATTCCGTGAACAGTAAGTTTTTGAGTGATTGAATTATTTTGGCACATAGATCCTACCTGAAAGTTGTACTGAATAAGAATAAAAAGAACTGAAGTAATAAATGTCAGATTACAAATGACAAGGAGAAAATATTGGAAAACAAATGATAAGCAAAAAAGTAAGATAAATAAAGAACATGTTGAAAAAACATTACTAAAATACAATCTCTGTTTACCAAATCAAGACTATTTTTAGTGTTTTGGTAACATTAAATTTCACACATAAAATTACAGTAACATTACGGGTGAAAAAGTATTTGAAGTCATTCAAATCTCTACAAAAACTAGCAAATCATTTAACCCTTTGACTGCTAAAGGGCAATTAAGAGGCCACAAACGTCTGTGCTGTTAATACTACTGTTTGTCACAATAGTGGTCCTGGCACTTAGATCTATCAGGTAAAGTTTTTCCTTATAGTTCGAGTAATATTTCTGTCTACTTCACAGTTGGGGTGGGGTAGAGAGCAATGTTGCCACTTTAACACCAGAGATGTGGTCATGTGGTCATTCTTGCATCACATAAGAATATTTAACAGTAGATAACACAGAACCGTACACACGATTCATCACCAAAGAAGTAATGGTACTCTTCAGTTTACAGCAGCTTCCAACTGTAAGATTTCATTTGTTTCCCTCAATAGGAATATCCATTTTGACGGCAACTCTGCTGTGACCTCAGTAGAATTTGAAGTCTCTAATTGGGTAACAGAATATCCCCTCTCCCCAGTCAGCAGCTAGCTGCCAAGTAGACAAGAAATATTTGAACAATAGTGCACCAGTCAGCAGGTATGGTATGTGGGGGTACATTTCAGTTATCATCTGATGGCAAGAAAGGCACATTTATTCGAGAAATGACTGAACTACGGCAGTCAACGAAGAGTGAGCAGATCAGTTGAAGACTCATTCACTCTGAACTTTGAGTATTTCTGTTTCATTTTGGTAGCATTTATTTCGTGATTTATTTGTTGGTATCTAGGGAACTGAATAGGTGTGTAAAAGATTGTCACTAATGGTGAGGTATGTAAAGGTTGAATAGGTATAAAAAACACTAAATGGTATGAAATGATTATTTTTGTTGAAGAAACATTCCACTTTCCTCTATTTTTAAGTGTATTTAAGTAATTGTCTCTGCCCTCTGGGTAGTTTTTTCTTTCGGGAATTTGTCAATACCTATATATGTCAGAGAAAGTTATAAAAGGCACTTTCTCGATGCCACTAAATGGCTAAATTCTAATAAATTTAAGAAAAAAAATTACTTACCTGTAAATAATTTTGCTGGTACTGGTTTTTTTTCATGAAGTCTGTCAATGATGAGTACGTTGTGTTTAATTCTACCACCAGCTGTGTTCACTTGGCGAGGCGACCCACGCGAGACGAGACTCCACAGGCGAGGTGAGGCGAGAAGCAAAGACGAAGAGGCGTCGTTGCACAGGCAGAGAGACTAAGACGAAGCCGCAGACTAAGGTGGCTTAGGACAAGGCGGATGCGGGTGTGCGGTAGGGCGAACTGGCTGGCGACGGCGAAAAAGCGGTGACGAGCAAAAAACACTCCTCTCGAGAGGGAGGGCAATGAGACCCAAGGCATAGTTGCCGCTCTGTGTGCCAAACATTCCCGTCATAGAAAGAACAATACTATATTTTTCACTAGGTTATCAATTATTGATATAGTTTCAAAAATAAATTACTTACCTGAAAATAATACTGCTGCTACTGGTTGTTTTTATGCAGCCACTCAGTGCTGACCACGTGTTCAATTCTAGAACCAACTCCCGTGTTCGCTTGAGGCGACATAGGAGAGGTGTGACAGGCATCGATAAACCATTTCGTCCTGCTCGAGGAGGTTTGACATGATGCTATTGTGACGTAGTGAAATAAGAAATAAATTTCAATAAC